CAGCAAAAATAACACTCCTCCTGCCGTCAGGACAGAAACTAATGTTAGCTCCCTGCCCCTGACTCCTTCTGTCAACTACAGCAAATTCCAAGACACCTGTCGTCCGAAATGTCCTTAAAATCAGTGAATTCACCCAGCACAGTAAATACAAACATGCAAACTTGAGAATATACTGTCCAACGAAGGTTAAGTCAAGGGCAACTGGACTTGGTTGAAGATACTGACGTTTCGTCCCTCATCCAAAGGCTTCTTTAGTTCTGACTGACTGGCAGGGAACTCAGCTATTTAACCTCAGTGGGGTCGTTGGCCAGGTCATCGATACCGCTGGTTCGTTAGTGTTCCTTGCTGTGACGACAGTCGTTACAGTCGTTAAGACTACCTGTGGCCAAGACTGAACGACCATCGTTGGCATCTTCACCTGAGGCCAATAGGTTACGTTTGTCGAGTTTCCTGGGAAGTGATGAAAGGACAGCATTGTAAGTGGGGATAAGTGGTGGCGTAGACCCCCTCCCCTGTTCAATGACGGCTTCTCACCCTGGTGTAGATGCTTCCTTGACACCTCTTTCAAACCATCCATCTTCTCTGTCTAAAATGTGCACCTGGTGGTCCTCAAACGAGTGTCCTCTGTCCTTCAGATGTAAGTAGACTGCAGAGTCTTGACCTGAGGTTGGCCCTTCTGTGTTGAGCCATGCGTTTGTGTAGTGGTTGTTTAGTCTCCCCATATACAGGTCTGTGCGTTCCTCACTGCATTGGACCGCATACACTAGATTGCTTTTCTTGTGTTTGGTGTGCGGTCTTTGGGGTGGACCAGCATCTGTCTTAGTGTGTTCTTGGGTTTAAAAAACACAGGGATGTTGTGTTTGTTGAAAATCCTCCTGAGTTTCTCTGATAATATACCAAATGTCAGACATTACAACATCTCACATTAGCGTGAGGTGAAATAAACGTAATATAGATCTAAACATACAGGTTTTATCATGGTCTTATGGCGCTGGTGGTGGACAGCATTGTCTTACACGTTGCTCCAAAATCTTGCACAGGTGTGAAACTGGATGAGATCTGGTGACTAAAGGCCATATTTCTATTCACATAATTTTCATCCTCACCAGCCAGTTAGCCAGATGTAACATCTTCATTTGATGTATCTCTTTCTGTTTCCTCTCATTTGTCCTCGTCTGTATGTTTTATCACAATCAACTCTTGTGTTGACTATCCGACAGTGACTTCCTGCTGTATCCGTATTGTTAATGTTTACAAACTAGCTATAATCTTGTCAACCTGATTGTTCATACTGTGTACGCAACATCTACAGCATGTCTTTCTGTCCTGGGACAGACAGCCAGGTCAATGGACATTAATTGAGGGGCTAAACAATTAATCCCTATGATTCCCATATCTTTCAAAAGGTCACAGAGAACATTAATGTTGCTACTAGAGCCCAGCATGAGAGTGGTGCTTTCAAAAGACAGTTTGTGTTGTTTAACAATTATTTTAAAAAGTTTCCTTACTGACACAATTGGTAAAGGAGAAAGTTCACTATTCAAGTTATACTGGCCCAGTACAAACCTTTACGTAACAGCCACATCAAAACCATTCCAAAGTCACCTAAAAATATCAAAAATCAAGAATCTAAATGTCCAAGGAGGACCTCAGAGAAAATCATGCATGCATCTTTAGTGGATCTTCAGATGCTGGGCCGCTTGTAGTTCCCTCCACAAGAACAAAACATGGAGAAGCAGCTTTCTGTTTTTATGCTCCTCGTGCCAGGAACAAACTCCCAAAGCACCTGAGACTAGCTAGCACATTACAGTCCTTTAAGTCAGGTCTTAAAACATTCCTGTTCTCTGAGGCCTTTTTAACCTTTAAAATCATATATAAGTATTTTTTAGCTCAATCCAAGTCTTTTCTTTTCTTTCTCTTTTAATTATATACATCATTAATATATAATTTTAATTGTGTTTTAATATCAACTTTTTATCTCTTTTCACAGCATTTCATCTCTTTTTCTTTCGTTTTCATTTGCTCTCTTGCATATGTAATGCACTTTGAGAGACAGATGTTTATTGTGTTAATCTTGAGTTTATGATATATTGCACATCTATCTAGCTCTATATTATACCTTGGTATCTGGTTTTGTATCTTTGTGTCTGGAAAGCACTTTGAATGACTGTATTGTTTGGAAGGTGCTATATAAATAAAATTGCTTTGCCTTGCTCTACTTCTTGATTAGGGATCATTCAGAGCACCTGCTGCACAGGGAGTGTCGCACTGACTCCTCAGCAGGGATTGAGTGCAGCTGGGTGATTTCCTCTGGGCCAATCAGGATGTGGCGACGCACATTCTGGAGGGCATAAGAAGAGGGGCATACCAGCACACTGGTGGCTTTTACCTGAAGCATTCTGACCCCCTGTACAATGTGTGCAGACAAACCCTGTCCTTTGGGATCTGCTTTTGTTAAGTGCGGGAATAAGTAAGAGTACTCTGGCCCTTTAGTTCAGGGTTGACATAGTGCCTAAAGCAGCCCTGGTGTTTAAATGTAACTGTAAAATTACCTGCTGCCTGAGAACCCCTATTTGTTTCTATTTAAAACCCCTTCCCCATTCATTCTTTTTTGTTACTTTGTTGAAAAGGCATAGTTTCCACTAAAATATATAGTCCTTTTCTCCAAGGGGGATACTTTGTTTTCACTTATGTGGATGGAAACCTGTGAAAACAATACGGCCATAATTGTATGCATGTCGATTTAACCCTACAGCCTCACGGCCGATGTGCTGCTAGTGTTGGCCTCTTTTGGGTTGCTGCGCACTAGCAAACTACAGGGCTTCTTACGGACTCTGAAGGTTACCTAAGCTAATGACGCACTGACTTGAAAATATGTTGCTTCCTGCATATGTGTTTATATTAAATCCAAATTGTATTTCCGTCATCTGTGTAACGGTGCAAAGTTGAAAGGAGTTCAACATGCAAAAACTAAAACATCGGAATCGGCTTTATTGGCCGGGTATGTGTAAACGAGGACTTTGACTCTGGATTATGATTTTGACTGTATCAATGTGAAACATAACATGTAACAGATTTAGCAGTGGCTATATTTACAACAATGAAACATCAATGGAAAACATGTCAATTCACAAAAACTAATGTTCATGTTTCAGTTAAGCTATCAAAGCTCTCCGATGCCCAACTTTTGTACTTTTGACTCAACTTTATTAAAACAGTGTGTGTGTGTTGGTGTTTACATGACAACCTTAGCTTGGGAAGTGGCGTACGCTCGTTTCCAGCCCAGTTTCGTACGTACACAGTTATAAATGAGACCCCTGACCCGGTGAGGCATGGACTCGTCATGAGGCATGTTCTGACACCTTTTTTATCTCAGCATTAACTTCTTCAGCTGTTTGACCTACAGTTGCTCCTCTATTGGAGGCCAGTTTCAGCTACCCACATGCATCAGAGAGCCTTAGTCACAAATGACCGTCACCGGCTCATGGCTTTTCCTTCATTGGAGCACTTCTGAAAGGTACTGACCACTGCAGACCAGTTTGGAGATGCTCTGACCGTCGTCGTCTAGCCATCGCAGTTGGGTCCTTGTCAGAGTCGCTGCCCATTTTTCCTGCTGACAGTTCAACTATGAGGACACAATGTTCACCTGCCGTCTGATCTGTCCCACCCACTGACGGGTGCCATGGTAACCCAATAATCACTGTTGTTCAATTTACCTGTTAGTGATCATAATGTTACGGCTGATAACTCTAACTTGATCTTGTTATACCGCCCTGTGGTGTTAAATAAACACACCTGGTAGTTTGCATGGTGTCCTGTCCCTGTGAGCAGTGGTGGAAACTTAATCCAGTATCTTAACTGGATCTCTGCTTGCAGATTTATCTTGGTCTGCAGTCAGAGATACTGACCTGGAAGGACCTGTAGAGTTAATGATGCACTTATTTTTAACAACCTGTAGGTTTAATGATATAGGTCAGTCTGGAAACTCTGATTTCAGTGGAACTGATTGGGTACAGGTAGATAGCATTTACAACACAAGGTGTGTCTCGACATTAAGTTGCAGTTCCCTTTGTGCTACTCCAAAAACAAACATTATGTACAAAAGGCATGTAGGGTAAATGGTAACATAAGTCATAGAAACAAAACTATTTCACATGGTGCAGTGCTGAGGATGAGGTGAGCACATACTTCTGTATCTCGTTTATCAACTTGTAGGGCTCCATGGTCAGTTAGTAGTAAGTAAAATAAACCACTGACTTTTTGTCTCGCACAGGAAATGAACACCTGGGTGAAAGTCCGGTTTCTGGAGCTCCACCTTCTCACTCTGACCTTTCTGTACACCTACCTTCAAAAATGACGCCACAGGGCTACCGGCTGCGTTGAACTGTGACACTGAGGGGCTCCCCAGTGTGTTACAAAGTGACACGACTGATCTTAACCAAGGCATCATATGCGACAACTTGGGAGTGAGAATGCGTTGGTTTCTGAGCACTCTGTACCTGTACTGTGGAAATGTGAGATGACCATGTCAGGTTTTCTGCAGGAACCTCAAACTGTTCACCTGCTCCACCTCAGCTCCACTGGGGTGTGTCCTTACATCCTTCTTAAAATCAACAACCAGCTACTTGATTTTGCAGGGATCCCATCAATCTGCATCCGAGTAACATGACTTTAAAACTTGAGTTTTCATGCAGGTAATTCGCCGATCTTTCCCAATAACATCTGTGGCTAGCAAATGCGTCGGCACCTGAACGGTTATGAAGTCACCAGCGAGGCTCACTTTGGTCGGGTTTAGGTTTCACACATGACCTGTGGGAAAGTTCTGTCTGTTTAACCCATCCACCCACCCCAACCAACTCCGTTCCTTCTCTTTATACTACGTCACGTACTCCCCGTACACTAAAAGCACAGGCTGGTATTGGCGTATCACCGCCACACCGCCGTATGCATATCCAGACTTTTTGTGCACAAACTCTGATTTTTCACTTGCCAATATATGTTCACACTTTAAGAGCATTTTTCATTTGAAAACCACAAAATGTGTATCCAGATTCAAACACATTACTTGTATACCAATGAACATCCTTTATAAATAGATTTAGAATAGATATAAATACAGTTTAAGATTACTCACTTTTAATCTAATATTGGCTGTGATTTTTAGAAACAACTTGGCCACTAACAGGAAAATAACAAGTCCAATAAATATGAAGAGCTGCTTCAGAGGAAAGGCTCTTGTATTAATTAACTTATATTGACTCTATAAACAATTTATTATAGATAAGGTTTTGCCCGCTCAGATGGCACTGATATCTGGTCTGGCCCATATTTGGGTGGAGTCGCCTTTAAAATAAAGGATTAGGTCTCTGTTTTCACAGACAGACTTGGAGGAGACACCAGCGAGACGACATTCACAGGGTGAGTGATCTTTGTAAAGCTTTCATATCTGATAAATGTTTGATTTCAATGATGACAGACGGACAAAGGAACTGGTTTCAAATGATTGTGAGGTTGTTGAACTGTCTGGGGCCTCCTAACTTCAGTAAGAGGATTTCTGATGTCTATAGACATATCATGGCGAACTATGGTTCAATCATGATAAATCTCCTTTTGAACAAGCTCGTTATTATTTCTAATTGTAGAAGAATATTATTTATGGTAAATCAATGAGCACTGTTTGAAAGTTTTGGCTGCCAGACTTTTTTACCACTTTGTACACATTAATCAGCAGGTTGCAGTCGACCTTTTTATTGATTCAGCTCTGAGGCATTTTTCCTCTCAGTTTTCTCTTCTGGCTTTTCTATGTTAAAGGGGAGCTGAGCAGGAGAGAAGTCAGTTTGAATGTGTTTCCTTTTGTGCTTTTAGTCGCCTTCACTGTAAAAACTAAACTAACAAACCAAGCCGGCTTCTTTGCTTCAACAAAAGGTTTAACAGTTGTGGAACACGGGAAAGTTTAAGGTCTGTTTTCTGTCAGATGCAGGTTTGAGGGGAGGAGGAGTAAAGTTAATCTGACTCTTCAGTGTGCAACTACAACCCCACCTCCCGCTGATACCTGCAGCTTATCTGGTTTCACACAATCATCCAAATGTCCAGATGAAACATGGCTGCCTCACAAAGTGCCATTCAGTTTAGATCTCCATGAAGCAGAGCAGTAACATCCTCCATCGGCTCCATGAGGCCATCTAGTGGACTGATGCTAGAAGTGGATCAGCTGATGGCAGCTTACTGCTCTCATTCTACCTGACCAATGAGAAAAAGCAGTTATTGATTAGTTTGAAGTGTAGAGTTGTTTTTGCACCCATGTATAGGTTGGCGAGGACGTTGGTTGATTTCTGACAATGTTCTAATACATAAACAGTAAATGTTGTCTTGTTTTCCTTTTCACCAAGAGTCAAAGCAGCAGGAGTTCCTGTTATGAGTGAGTTAGTTGTTGTATCATCAAGTCATTCAGATATATCTTTTTTATTTTCAGGAAACCACAGGTTGGACACAAAAATCACCACTTAAGTGCTGAAAAAACGTTAAAAATGGGGAACGTACCGTCAGAAAGTAACATGGGCGAAAACCTGAGATGCTGCAAGTGTGATATAGTCCTGCCTCCGTGCAAATCCTTCGATGATTTCCACAAAAGTACTGTTCATGGTATATACTACAGACCGGTTGGCGCTGATAATATGTACGAGTGTGCATCCTGCTTTAATAAGCCAATCAGGGATCAAGAGGAGGAGAGAGGAGACCGGGTTACCAGCAGAATGTAATATGGGTGACCGCCTGAGATGCTGCAAGTGTGATAAAGTCCTGCCTCCGTGCAAATCCTTCGATGATTTCCACAAAAGTACTGTTCATGGGCAGCTTGTGTATGTGTTCAATGGAGGAGAATACTACAGACCGGTTGGCGCCGATAATATGTACGAGTGTGCATCCTGCTTTAATAAGCCAATCAGGGATCAAGAGGAGGAGACCGGTTACCAGCAGAATGTAATATGGGTGACCGCCTGAGATGCTGCAAGTGTGATAAAGTCCTGCCTCCGTGCAAATCCTTCAATGATTTATATGTAACTACTCTTAATGAGCAGCGAGTGTATGTGTTCAATGGAGGCGAATACTACAGACCATATGAAGTCTTTAAGCACGAGTGTGCAAAATGCTTTGAGAGTAAATGAGGAGACAGGAGACTGGAGAAAGTCCTAAACACTGTCTGAGATTAGATCAGGTAGGATTTCAGATTCAGGATGTTTCTTTAATGAGGAGCCTTTGGGGTTTTTTTACAGTCCAAATCTTGTTTCGACTGTTTTGACATCAAAAAGGAGAAAACTTCAAGTGTCAATGTTGGATTATACATTATTCCTGATGTTGTATTGCTATTAAATGTTTCAGGCCTAACCTCTCAATGTGTGCTTTGATTATCAATTTCAAATCGGTTGGATGCACCGTTCTTTTAAATCCTGTGTGCTGAACTGCTTCAAATAATTTGACTGTTTTTAATTAGAAATATCTTCTTCATGTGCAGGACTGGTTCAGCATCCATTAATGGGAAACACTTTCACTGTCAGACCTTTCTAAATTGATGCTGTCATTCAGAGCAGTTGATGAAGAAAAGTGTTGATTTTCATAAAATATCATCAGATGAAGAGAATACTTTTATTCTCCTTTCTGTGCTCGCTATTCCTTCCACAGTATATTTTGTCTTGTCATTATCTTTTTAGTGTGCCGATTGTGGTAACTTCAACAACTAGAAAAGTAAAATCAACCATATGTATCTCAGAACTCGGAGATTTCCCAGTTGAAACTACAGACTTCCGATCTCAAAGCATTCCAGGTGCATGATGGTTCATGGCACCAAAAGTGAACAAAAAACATCACACCTAACGTTCTGCATTATGTTACAGAATGACTGTTCCACAAGCCTGGCTTTTATTTTAATATAGGGTTTAATTTTAATTGTTTTTTTTTTTTTTTTTTCATTTTAGGATTTAGGAACCAAAAACAGAAATAAGGTATGAAACGACAAACAAAAACCCCGTAGTTTTCTGTTTCTTGGTTTTGTGGTCAGAACGTGCACGGACCCAGATTCCTTAATTACATTTGATGGCAGCTATTTAGCTTGTAAAGCGTCAGCCATGACTGTATTGCTGCTTTGGAGTATTAGGTAATTCGCCACCCCGCTGTGTTGAATAACGTGACTGCTATCAACAGCGCTGAGCCAGATTATTATCTTGGTACTTTGATATTTAGATGTTTTTTAGTGATCGGTTCTTGTTGAGGTCCTGATGCCTCACACAGCTTAATCTAGAAGTTATTTTGAGCACCAGAACCAAACTGAGACATTAGAAACCTCGAGTTAGCTGATTAGAGAGCTTTTCTCTGGTTGACATTTCTGTATTATATATTACTAATTCTAAAATTCAAATACATTTTGAGATGCTGGAGGTTTGATTTCTATGAGTTGGAAACCGTAATCAAGATGAAAACAAAAAAAGGTGCTTGAAATATTTCGCTTTGTGAAATGAATCTACAATAAAATAAGATTCACTTTGATATTTAATTATGCAAGAAAATTCACTTTTTCACATTATTCTTTTTTTAAGACTCAATCCTGTAGTTTACTTTTCACTACCTGAAACATTTATTACACTTATTTTCCTTCACAAACGTAACTAGTTAGCACTTCCGGTCTGTATGAGACAGACGCTGAAGGAACCTTTTGCGACACCCTGAGATGAGAGCGATCTGGCTTTTTTTTATTTTTTTTAGTGAATCTCAACAATGTAATTATTGATGACTCTAAACGTTCTTAAATATGAACTTTAAATCATTTAACAACACTGACGAACCCCACACAGATTAGTATCTCTTTATGGTAACATTAATTGGAGGTGCATGGCACTCCTCTCTGCAGCCTGGTACTCAACTCTGCAGCCACTTCCCCCTCCGCTCTCTGCCTTTCAAAAGACTTTGTGTCCCCAACAGTTGAGGTGCAACCACTTAGAATAGAATCTGAGTAGAATCTAACCGAAGAGTGCCAAATTTAACATTACTCCTTTAGAAAGTTTTTAATCTAAAATAAAAGATGATGAGTTACTGAAGAACAGACTGGGAGATCTGATATTAATGAATCATTAATGATTAATTCATGAATATCTGTGAAATGATCATACTGACCACTTTCTATAATGTCCTCCATTATCAGGGTTGTACTCTTTAACAATTCATCAACAATGAATTAATCCCTGATTTGTTCCTCACTTGTTTCATAATTATCTAATCATTAAGTAAACATTAGCTACTCCATAAATTGCTGTTCTCATTCATTCCCTGGTAATTACTGAATATGTTGTGTAACCTTATTGTAAAGTTTTCTTTTTCTTCCACAATCAGGAGCTTAAAATATTTGATTTGTTGTTTTAAAAAAAAAAAAAAAACTTTGGGAAATACATAAATTAATTTGAGCTCTCGCCAAATAATAAATGTGGGCTTTTATTCCTCTGTGACAACACATCTTAATTTAAACAGCTACAACAGAACTGCAGCTGTTTATAGTGCAGTTACTTCATGTTGAGCTCATTCTGTTAACACAGCCTTTAAAGATATTTTAACAGAAACAAACATGGCGGAGAAAGCAGCTTTCATGTCCGCAGCTTTGTGAAACCTCAGAGGAGCGACCTGCTGCAGTTAGTAACACAAAGAGTGACTAACTGCTGAGCCTTAGTGCTGATAACAGGTCAGTGCACCAGGGAGGGCCGAATGTAAAGAAGGGCCTCACCCCTCTGATAAACAAAACAAAGTACAAAAAAACACAGAATTAAAGACTTAAGGCTGGTGTAGTTTTATATTTTTCTTAATAATCAAATCTCCTGAAAACAGTTAGTCCATCTCTAAATGCGGTCTTACTTCCCAATGCTGTATCAGTTCTTACTGATAAATGTTTATATGCATCACTAGCAATCAGTATAATAATCAGTAGGAATGTTTTCTGAGAGACCGAATCAGAATAAACTATAGTGTGTGTGTGTGTGTGTGTGTGTGTGTGTGTCATGGTGGTGAAGGAACGTCTCGGGTTACGTATGTAACCCTTGTTGCCCGAGAAGGGGAACGAGACACTGCGTCGGTGACGACACTATGGGAACGCCTCTGAAGGGCGTGGCAGGGCTGAATCATGAATGAAACTACTCCAATCCTGTTGGTGTTGCTAAAACGGTAGCGTGTGACGGCGTAACTGGAGGCGTATATAAGCACGCCGGCACACAGGACACATCAGCTCTTCGCTATGAAGCAAGGCACTCCAGGCAGGGTGAGGTGTGGCGGATCAACGCAGTGTCTCGTTCCCCTTCTCGGGAACAAGGGTTAGACACGTAACCCGAGATGTTCAAGGGAACTCGAACTGCGTCGTTGGAACTGCGCCCCCTCAGGGCCCCACAGCTGCCACAGGGCGGGCCGCGGGTGAAAGACCTGGCCCTCCGCCTGGGACAGCAGGTCTCTCCTCAGAGGGAGCAGCCAGGGCGGGCCCTCCAGGAGCAGTATTATGTCCAAGAATCCTCTCAGGTCGGCCAAAACGGTGCTACGAGCAGTAGGCGGACACCGACCTGACGCTCCCGCTCCAGAACCCCCGGGGAGCAGAGCAATTGGGGGAAAAGCATACAGACGTCTGCACCATGGCATCCAGCCCTAGCGGGGGCTGGGGGCGAGAGGGAGAACCACAGTGGACAGCAGAGAGCGAACTTCTTGTCCCAACACCTGGCTGCCTGCACTGCAGCCTGTAGCCATCCACTACGGTAGGCAGGACCCACGGGGAAATGTTCGCAAGCCCCTCGGGGCTAGTGGCCGGTGGGGAGGAGGCGGGGGGGTGGTAGTGGGCCCCCCTACTCGAAACCTCAGGACCTCTTTCCCCGGGCCCACCTGGGGACCGAATGATGGTCCTCAGATCCGTCTTCTCAGGGGGCTGTGGGCGAGAGCTCCACCTCATGTCCCAGGTTTGTTGACGGGGACCACAGGAAGCAACGCTTCGCTTCTGGCTCTGGCGGTAGGAGCTAGACGAGGGCTGAGCTCGTCTCTCTTCAGCCGTCGCAGTCCTGGACCCAGACCGGCGGGGGTGATACTGCTCAAATGCCTCTCCCTGCGTTTTGACGTGCTGGAACCTGCTCACGACAGTGTCCACTGCCTCACCAAACAGGCCAGTAGTTGTGAGGGACGCATCAAGGAGGAAAGCCTTTTCCTTCTCCTGGATGCCCAAAAGGTTGAGCCACAAATGGCGCTCCGTGGCCACCAATGCTGCCATGGAGCGGCCAGTGGAACTGGCTCTTTAGTGACTCGAAGCGCTAAATCCTCCTCAGAGGGCCCCCCCCCCCTTGGTCACAGTCCTTTAGCAGATCGGCCTGGTATGCCAGGATGGCCATAGTGTGCAGGCTTGCACCTGCTCGACCCGCCGCCATATAAGCCTTGCCCACCAGAGCGGATGTCGCCCGTCATGGCTTGGTGGGCAGCGCCAGCGTCTTGAGAGATGACGCTATGGTGGGAGAGAGGTAGCTCGCTAATGCCTCCTCAACCCGAGGCACCGCTCCGTAGCCTCACTGCTTGATCTCTGCCCCATTGCTGTAATCCAGCAGAGGGGAAGTAGTCAGCCGTGCAGAGAAGGGTTTATTCCATGATTTACACAACTCATTGTGCAAATCAGGAAAAAATGGCAAGGATCGGGGGGCGGCGCGTCGTGCTGCAGAAAACGCTCATCTAGTTTACTGCCGGTCCAGGATTCCTGCACCGCTTGTGGCCAACCAATATTCAACTTGGCCACAGCCCGCGTCACCAAATCCAATAGTTCATCATAGCTGTGCGCAGACTGACGACGTCGGCCCGGCTCCCGGAAGTCATCCTCCATGATGCCAAGCACGTCTAACTCCTCAGAATCAGACTGTGCGAGCCTCTCTGGACTCATACTTCGGGTGGGAGAAGCCGAAAAACGGGCTCCCGAACGGGGAAGAGGGGAGGCAGAGTCAGCAGACAAGGATCGGGAAAAGGCCTCAGCCGTCCCGACGCCCTCTGAGATATCACGTTGCAATCCCCACGACCGCAGCCGCTGCGACGCCTCAGCAACCGTGGGGCCTGAGCCACGGGGAGAGCGCATCCGACCGTCTTCCGAAAAGAGAGCCGCACGAGACCTCAACACCCTCAGGGACAGGGCCTCGCAATGGCGGCAGGCAGCCCCCTTGAGAGCTGCCTGGGTGTGCGACATCCCCAGACAGGAAACATACATCTCATGTTTATTCCCAGCCGTGATGTAGCGTGGGCATGGAAAAACACATTGTCGGAACTGGTTACCAGACATGGTCTCTTCTGCTTCGTGAGGACTTCCAGGTAAGACAACAATTTCCTTGGGAGCTTTCAAACATACTCATAGTGCCTGCTGACTAGAAAAAAGCTGATTTGTCCTGTGTGCCGGCGTGCTTATGTACGCCTCCAGTTACGCAGTCACATGCTACTGTTTTAGCAACACCAATAGGATTGGAGTAGTTTCATTCACGATTCAGCCCTGCCACGCCCAGAGGCGTTCCCATAGTGTTGTCACCGACGCAGTTCGAGTCCCCTCGAAAGGGAACTTGTCAAACAGTGCAGCAGTGAACAGCAACAGAAAGTTTTATATGTTACAGTTTTCATACATGTTTCATCACTAAATCCACTTCTGAGAAGTTTTGAGGTGAGAAATCAGCTGTGTAGATTTCCAATATTGACAGTTTTACGAGAAGTGATGGCGGAACAAAAATGTGATGAATATTTCTGGAGTTGAGGAACTCCGTGAGTGGCTGCGGGGGAAGCCAGCTGTGACCCGCGGGAGGAGCGTGAGGCCGGCCAGCCGCCCGCTCACAGAGCCCTCTGCTCCCGCCGTCACACAGACCGCTGCAGCAACAACGGCAGAGGAAAACACAGCTGGAAGCTTTTCATCCCGCTTATCTGTCTTTACATCCTGAGGAAGGTTGAAACGTTTTAACTTAAAAAGGAGAAAGCTGTGTGGATCGCTGGTGTGTGTGTGTCGCATTGAACATTACGTCGCGGCAGTTGTGTGTGGCGTCGCTATGACGACAAGCTACGTACTATCTCTGAGTACTACCTGCAATGGAAAACGGAGCAGGGCCGAGTAGAGCCCAGTCTATCAATTTTCCCTATGGAAGCATTTTTCAGCAAGGCAGCATAGATCATCAGAACACCGGCAACAGTTCAACGTTTAGTCCTGATGGTCAGATGTGGAACAATGATGTTGTGGACTTGTGAGTAACTTATACCATCTGCTAGGTTACGGTCTCAGTCTGAAGCGGCTTTGATTTGGATCACACTATCTTGTTTCTTATGACCCGCCCTTCTCTGCTTCTGATTGGCTAGTAGTCCTTACCTGGGAACTGCACATGTGCAACTCCCAACAAAGATTTTATACAAGTAAGATGCATCACTCTGTAGCTCGAGTGGAGCGTACAACACACAGGGTGTGTTGTAGTTTATGACTGCTTTTGTATTACTGTACAGCAGCAGGGAGTCACAAACTTAATTTCACTTTACAACCTGTTATGTGACAAATAAACCTTCTTCTTCACTGTCTGCTGAAGTTAGCTTAGCATGCCAACTGAAAATGGAATGACAGGCTGTAACCTAGCAACAGCAGCATTTGGTGATTGTTTGGAAGAGAAGAAACTGATTTTAACTGATTTTAACTGATTCTGATTGTTTTGACTGACTAAGTAGCTGCTGAGGACATTTTCTCTACATCGTGATCTGCATGTCAAAACTCCAAATGCTGAAATCGTTGGTGAAACAGCGACTCGACGCGGCCGCTGAGGAGATATTTGGGCTGTTTGAAAGAACAATAGCAGAATATGAGGAGGAAATATCTCGTTTAAGAGAAAGTGAGCGACAACATAAACTGCTGGATGCTGTTTTCAGCCCAACATGTCGGGTACACAGATCAGGTTGGTACATTTTCACTTTCATTGTCATCTAGACAGTTACAAATATCTTATTTCTGGTGAAATTCTTCTGGTGAATTGTCTCACGTCTGACAGGTTAGTGCTACTGAATGGATTCAGCTAGCAGGAGTTAAACCACAGCTAAAAGTATGTAAATATAATCAGGAAAATAGTAAAAAAGTAAAAGTATTTAATGAAGAATTAAAAATATCTCATGTGACTGTTATAATATTATATAGTATATTTAATATTATTCATGTATTTAGATCAAGCAGGATTTAACTGTTTTAGTTGAGGTTGAACTATTTTGTATCAGACTGCAATTATTGACTTGTTGCATTATGGATTAATCTGCTGAATATTTTCTCCATTAATCAACTGTAAATCAAATGATGAAAAAAGCAGCAAGAAAAGAAAATCTTGCTGGAACCAAAAAAATTTTTTTTCATGAAAAAATTACTTCACAATTTAATTTCTGTCAATCAACGAATGTACTAGCTGTACCTGTATAAACTGTTGGGAAGTTTAATTTATAACAAAACATAATATTTGTTAATCTCTTTATTCTGTGTGTAAAAATCTTACTTTGTAAAGTTACTAGTAAGCTGCCAGATAAATGTGAGCAGAAGCAATTCTTTTCCTAACACCACAATGACTTGTTTCATTATGAATTACTCTGCTGATTATTTTCTCCATTAATCGACTGTAAAAATTCTTAAAATAGCCGCAAGAAAAGGAAAAAAAGCAGCAAATCTTCACATTTGTGAAGCTGGAAGCAAAAAAAGTTGATTATTATTAAATGATTATTAGAACAGTTGGCAATTAAATTTCTGTCAATCAACGAATGTACTAGCTCTACCTGTATAAAATCTTGGGTAGCTTAGTTCATAACAAAACATCATATTTTTTACACTCTTAATAACTTTTGTATGTAAAAATCTTACTTTGTAAAGTAACTGATATATAAAGTCAGATATATATAGTCAAGTTAAAAGATGTAGGGCTCATCGGCGAGCGCCTGTTGGCTGGGTTTGTGACAGGATTCTGACTGCTGTATGTGCACAGAACAGCAGTTCAGAGTATTCTGCCTTCTTGGAGACCCTGAATTGAGTCCTGTATGGGGCTCGATCAGGA